GTTGGGGCGGAAAAGGAACCCAACTAGCCGGTAGCCAAGCAAACTCGAGGCATTAAACACCACACAGAGTATTAATTTAAGTCCGAGTCAACCTAGGGGAGGCCCAGAACTAATTCAGCTCTTCATCAACTCAGCTCACTGGGTTCACAGCGCAATGCGCTGAGCACTCCCACTCCCGCTGCTCCTTCGTGAAACAACAGCAGCAGCAGCAGAGGCAGCGTCGTCAACAACAACGGCCGCCGTTCAACAACACGTGGCGGTGACGTCACCACGGCGTTTGTGCCAGGCCAAGTGCACTTTGAGGCAATCGCGCCGTGAAGTGCCGAAGGCTCAATGCTGCCAGGAGGTGACGGGACCAGCCCCCAGGTAGTTATGGGTTCAATGACCGAGATGAGCGGCAGAGATGCGCCACCCCACTGGGCCAACATAGAAAGACAAAGCCAAAGACCCCTCGCGTAGCCTTAGCAGACTGTTGGGGCAAGGTGCTGTTAGCGAGCACCCTATGAAGGTTGGCATGGCAGACAAGGAGGTGGGTGTCCAGCACCACGCCCGGCCGCCTTTGTCTCCCCAGTCGCGATGTTTACTCCGCGTCGGGAACTCATTTGAGGCCGAGTCAACCTAGGGGAGGCCCGTGACCGGTCCAACACTGACCCTCCCCGTGGCCAATGTACATGCACGCGCGCACACACAAACTCTACCCTACACTTTCAAGTCAATGTTAAAGACAATCCTCCACTACTCCTTGCGTCTATGACTGGCAACGTTCTTCCTCAGCATCGTATCCCAGAACTCTCACATCTCCCCGGGCTCAACAGAGGTGCTTGGGACACAGGCTTGCATTGAGATGCTTTTCTTCCTGTGTCAATTAAAAGGTTGCGTTGCATTCAACGGGCTCCCTCGCAGGGGAGGTACGGCCCTTCACTACCCCCCCCCCCCCCCCACGGGCTCTTCACCTGATGCTAAATAAAGCGGCGAAGCCACCTGAGCGTTCCCTCGGAGCCACCGCGCAAGGTCCCCACCCCCCGGCTCATTCTGAGATCACAGCGCATGCCAGTCCACTGTTACACAGTTCAACGGTTCCACCGTTCCGCTAATCCACCATTCCGCTATTCCACTTTTCCACGATTTCACGGAAAAGAAACCCCACAAGGCATCATCATCACACACACCCAGGGACCCACGTGTAAATCAACCAACCCACAGCCACGCAGGCGGCCCGCAGACGCACGCACACGTGCAGACACGCACAAGCAAAGACATGCACATGCGTGCCCGCAGAGATAAGCACGCATACACAAAGGCACGCACACACACACACGTTGACGCTCAAGAGAGATACAGGCACGCAGACTCGCACACAGGCAGACATGCACACACGAAGAAATGCATGCACGCACACACGCACAGGACAGGCGCACACAAAGACAATCGGAGACAAAGGTCCCCTAGTACAGCCTTAACAGACTGTTGGGGAAAATGCTGTCAGCAATCACCTATGAAGGTCGGCACCATGCCCGGCCGCCTTTGTCTCCCCAGTGGCGACGTTCACACACCACACCAGCAAGTCGTTTATGGCGGAACTCACTCGCCACCAATGTTGGGCCGAGGCCATAAAATAAAACTCACCAGGTGTGCCACCGCTCGTACCACCACTTACCACCACCCCGCACCATTCACCGCACCACCTCTGCAACTAGCGCTCAGCAGAGCACCAGCTCATCATCATTATTATTATCCACGCCGCCCATCAGCAGCAATCATACAGACACCATCCCTCCCTCCACTCAATAAGTCTCCACTGCCATCATCACTCGCGCACACACACACACCGCCCGTGCAGTGTCCATCGATTCTCATCACCAATCCCATCGATTGTCTCAATTCGGGGGTTGCGACTGAACGCAATTATCGTTGTTTTTTTGTCTCGTTTTTAATCTGTCTCGTTTGTATTGTTTCCCGATTTACAACTCGGGTGCCTTCGATTTGTGGAGTTTAAACTGTCAAACTATGTTGTATTTTACCAGGTAAGGGCCCTACTGAGCTGTGTAGCTCTTTTTGCAGAAGCGACCTGGCCATCACAAACGATAGCTCATCATCACGTGGAAATCTCTAGCAGCCAAATACTTACTAATGCGTGATGTTGATTCTAAATGTGGAGGGGGAAAAAACCGGAGGACCCAGAAAAATATCAACGCGACTCCGGGGAGAGACACGCAAACTCCAAATATACAGCAGCAGGCGTCGGGGTCGGGATCGAACCCACAACCTCCTGTGTACCGGGCGAGGTAGTTAACATCTCCTAGCCACCGTGATGATGATCAAGAGAGAGAGACACGCAAACTCCAAATATACAGCAGCAGGCGTCAGGGTCGGGATCGAACCCACAACCTCCTGTATACCAGGCAAGGTATTTAACATCTCACCACCATGTATGTTCTCTCCCCTGTTCTCTCCATGGTTTTCCTCCGGGACCCAGCGGTTTCCTCCCAGAGCCATATATATATAAAAACAGATACAGTGTAACTGGTACTTGCCAAAATATCCCAGTGCTGCAGAATTGCCTGCAGGTTACTCAGTTGGGATGACGCACAGCATCATCCGCCCCCTCGCCTAGCGCAAAAACTACTTGGCAGGACCCTCCCTCGAAAATGTATTGAGACTCAGTGAGGCTTTCCCGGGTATGCAAGTGTAGTAATCATGATGATGAATCATAATAACATCACGGCCCCTTGCTATAGGGGAGACCTGGTTTTAAAGCAAGTACAGCAAAAGGAAGCGTGTAACGAAAAAACGCACAAGAGGCAAAAGAATAAGCAACGCAATTGGACATCATTGGCATCTCCAACGCCGCGGTGGCAATTTTCGGTCAAATTTGAAGGGGGGAAAAATAGAAATGCAGGCGTGTCGAATCACAGAATTCCCCTTGGCTGTCAGCGACGGCGACAAGACGCTATACCGCTCCTTGAGATTTTGTGTCGAGTTAAGGGGGTCACGGTAAGAGTTTACGGTCCGGGGAAGGGAGAAGATTAGAGTTAGGGTTTGGTGACAGGCAGGTTTGGGTTAAAGTTAAGGGTGTATAGTCACGAAGATATGGATTACGTGGATTATGGGTTAAGGGTTTAGGATTATGGTGGAGGGTTATGGATTTGGGGTCAATGGTTTAGGGCAATTTTCTTCACTAATTTTCAGAGGGGGCGCCACGTTTGCCGATGAGACATCACCAGTGTGAGAGCCGCCACACATTTGAAACCACTATTGTGGTTTGACAGCAGCGCGATGATGATGATGGTGGTGGCGGTGTTCTCACCATTTGTGTTTTGTCGGGGGTGGCCGCACCACAGAGGCCGCACTAAAGACCACCAGAGGGCCGCCAGTGGCCCGCGAGGCCTTCCAATAAAGAACACTGGTTTACGATAAGCGTTTAGGTTTGGGCATCAGGGTCAGGGTTTAGGATTAGGGTTCGGGGTTATGAACTAAGGGGACGGTAGTCTCCAAGGCCGCAATTCTCGCCCCGCATCTGCAGGGACTGCATATCACTTTGCCTCGTGCATTATCTCTCCATCCGTGATGCAGGGAGGGTGGAGGGGGTGAATACGACTGCGGTGAAGATCGTCCAGTATGAACCAACCCGTCGTATCGAGCCGTGTTGCCATTACGGCATTGCCATATTAAACAAGAAAAACGGCCCATTTTATTTTTAAGAAAAATGTCCCTAAACTTGGGAGACCCAATCTTGATTTGAAGCTTTCGTGACTGCAGGAATCCATACTCTTTGGTTCTTTCGGTAAAGTCACGTGGGTAGAGAAAATTAATAGATCACGACGTTTCGATCGCAATACACGCAACCGTCAGCAGGTGAAACAAACAACAGCTGGAGAATTGCTGACGTTGGGAGACCCAACCCAGCGCAGAATGGGACAGCTTTGGGTAGTGCGAATCCAATACCTCAGTGGGATTTGCCTGGGTAGGATGAGGATGGTTTAGTGTTGTATTTGTTTGTGTTTGGGTGATTTGTTTAACTTGTACTTTGCACTACTATCGTGCTTTGTGTACTGTTTGTTGGTGTAACGTTCTTACCACGTGCCCCTGCTGGACATCTGTGAAAAAAGAGCTTTATAGCTCATCGGATTCCGCCAGCATAAATAAATATTCTGATTATTTAAAAAATAACGGGTTTTACTCTTTCTGGCAAAAAAAACAGAATGTGTTAAGATGCTCAAACACCAAATGGGAACCTTTTGCAAAGGAATCACATCACAGATTCTGATTCTGAAATACGGGGCTTACGAGGACAAGACTGAGACCACCCGTTACAGAATCCATCCATGCGTGATGTTGTTGTTCAACCTGAGCGTTTGTTGCGCTACTGCTGCTGCTTTGGATGCCCGTCTCTAATTTAAACAACAGTTTAGTTCAAGTACGCAAGATATCCCCGACAACAGCAGCAGCAACAACAACCACAGCAACAAAATCGCCGTTCAACATTCAGCGGCGGTGACCTCACCACGGCGCTCGTGCCAGGCCAGGTGCACATTTGCGGCCACGTGAGGCGGGCGATGGCTCGCTGCTGGCACGAGGTCACGGAACAGACCCAGCAGGTGCCCGTGGCTTGACGGACTGAGACAGACTTGTGCCACAGACTCCCACCCCCCGTGTAGCCTGCAGTCACAGGCTGTCAGGGCAAGCGCTGTGAGCGAGTAGCGGCACCACCTATATGAAGGCTACCGGCACTGTGGCACACGAGGGGGTTGTGGGTGACCAGCACCACGCCCGGCCGTCTTTAGGTCTCGCACCAGGGTACTCATTTGAGGCCGAGTCGACCAGGACCGGATTCAGATAATCGTCACCGCTGTTGGCCACGAGCGGGAATCGAACCAGGGTCTCCGGGGTTGGTAGCGCAGCACTGCGCTAACCGCTGCACCACCACTCCCCACAACTGCCAGCACCACCGTCTCCCACCCACACCCGACACCCCCACCGTCCACAGAGCGAGAAGTTACCAGCCAGGCTGATGTAGCAGTCGATCTCAATCGCCTCCACTCGCGACCTCTGCTCTCCACTCAGCTTCCCGGCACCACCACCACCACCTCCGTGTCCCGCCGCCGCAACGTCGCTGTCGGCCCCCACCTCCTTGAGCTGCAGCAGCGCGCGGTGGTACTTGCCGATGGCCTCGCGGAACTTCTTCTCCTTGTAGCACTGGTGGCCCTCGCACGCGAAGCCGCTCGCTCGGCCCATCCGCGCCTCTACCTCGACACCGGTCGAGGTGGGCCCGAGTCCGCCGTGGGGAGGGCCGCGGCCGACGCCGCCGCCGCCTCCCCCCGGCGCCGCGAGCCGAGCCGAGGCCGGTTCGGCGCCGCTGCCGGGCGGAGGAGGAGGAGGCGGCGCGGCCTGGTGGCTCCCCGCGGGGTGAGCCCGGCCGGGCGGACCGCGGCGCTCGGCCGGCACGGGGCAAAGTCCCCGCGGAGGCGGCGGTGGATCCATGGGGCGGTGACCCCGGGCGAAGGGGCCCCGCGGGCTGCCGTGCGCTCCCCCACTACCGCTGCGTCTCCCCGAGCCTCCTCCTCCCCCCCACCACTGTCAGCCCCCTCCCCCAGCGCCTCGCGTCTCCCCTTCGCGCTCCCTGCGTCTCGCTCCGACTCACCCCCTACCTCACAAAGTGCCCCCCTCGTGTGGCTCTCTTCGCTCACCCCCCTCGTCCTGTCCCCCTCGCCCCCCCGAACTTTCCCCTCCTCACTTCAACCCCCACCCCGTCGCCCCCCTGCCTACCCCGCACCTCTCCACCCCTCAACCCGACCACTCGGCCCCGCTTACTCCCTCTCCCCTCTCACTCCCCGTCTATCTCAGGTACCCCCGCCGACCCCTCTCCCCCCTACCCCTGCCTCACCCCCTATCCCGCTCCACCCTCGCCCCCGTGTCTCTTCCACCGTTTCACACCCAACGTCGCTCCCCCACCCACCCACCCACGCTCGCTCCCTAATCTCCCCTACCCCGTCTACCTCTCCCCCACCTCTTCTCACCCGGCCAACCTCGTCCGAGCAAGGCCCAACGCGACCATCACCCGGTCCCCAACCAAGGAGCTCCGCAACCACCAACGCCTCCCACCACCGCGGAACGAACCACAACCACTACCCAGCAGCACCACCACCGCAGCAGCAGCAGCAGCAGACGCGGGTGAAGGCTCCGTCCACACGGCTGCTGTCGTTCAGAGTGAACGAGGAGGAGGAGGTGGAGGAGGTGGGGGGGTTGCAGAGAAGAGGTGCTCGCGCGCGCGCGCCCGCGGACGTCTCGAGGAGCCACCACAGCGGCGGGCGGCGTCCACTCGCAAAGCGTGCGGCCTCGTGGGTGGAGCCACCACTTCCGGTACACCCCCTCGATTTCCGGTCGCACCACCCCTTCCACCCCTCCCCATTCCCCCCCCTATTCCCCCACCCCTTCCACCCCTCCCCATTCCCCCACCCCTTCCACCCCTCCCCATTCCCCCACCCTCCCCATTCCCCCTCCCCCACCCCACCCTCCCCTCCCCATTCCCCCACCCCTTCCCCCACACTCCCCCACCCCACCCACTCTCCCCCGCACCCCCCCCACCACCCCACCCCCCACTTCTCGCCCAGACACCCCCCCCCCTGAGCCGGAAGCGCTTTCTCCATTTGAATTGGTAGCTCGCTTAAGCGCGGCTTAAAGGAGGCTTCTCTGTGGGAAGCGAAGGGGCCAGAGGGAAGACCCCCCGCGGCATTCGTTGCTTATCCGTGTTAGGAAATGCAATACAAGGTTGTGGTAATACACGGGAACTGTGTGGACCAGGCACCACTACCATCAGTCTTTATTTGTACTCGAGAAATCCGATGAGCTTTGAAGCTCTTTTATTTATTTTTAAACGGATGTCCAAGTCGGGGCTGGTCAGAAAGTTGCATGGCATGAATCTAAATGTTGCGTCGTTAACCCGCCACCACCCGACACCATACCTGTCAACGCCTTAGGGACCGTCCATAAATGACGTCACGCACCTGGGGGGAGGGTCAGACATTTGTGACGATGTGTGACGAGGGGGGGGGGGGTTTGAGAAATGTGACGTCACGTCAAAATGCGCAACTTTAAATAAATATGGAATTCATCTTCTTTGGTTCTTTCGGTAAAGTCACGTAGAATGAGAATAAAATAATAAATTGATAAAATAAAATAACAATAATATTCTCACGACGTTTCGGCCACAACACAAGCGGCCTTCATCATGTGAAGGGACGAGACTGAACCAAAGAAGATGAATCATTGCAGTCACGAAAGCTTTAAATCGAAAAATATGGAATTGTTATAACACTAATTGTTATGACAAGACTCCTACAACATCAGAGTGCAGCGCCACATTAAATAAGCACTAGAATGACAATACTTTAAAGCGATGTGACGTCATATTTGAGGGGGGTTCCTCACTTTTTGTGACGCCGTGTGACGAGGGGAGGGGTCAAAAATCGTCCAAAATCGCGTGACGTCATTTATGGACGACCCCTTATCAGTGCCCCCTACCTTGTTACAGACCAACTCAGACCTTACTGGTCACCCCGTGCCCCTTATAAATCTCAATATTCATCCTACAAAGTCCCATCACAAGGGAGAAACACAGAGATTTTTTTAAAAGTGCCCTATTGAAACGTCTGTAGGCCGTATGGCCCTGCAAACTCAATTCCCCTGTACAAGAATAGGACGTGAACCCTGTGGGTTGTCAGCGATGTGCCACACGGCCAATGAGAAGGTTTGTCACGTGAACAAAACGTGGCAATTCACTTTCACTTTCAAGCACATTGCCCTGAGAACGATTGTATCAAGGGGCTTTACACATTCACATCAGTCGTATGGTTAAACCCACAACATTTACAATTTGAGTCCGACGTTTCGATGGTGATTTTCGTTGTTGTTGCCAATAAGTAATATTTTTTTAACTTAAAAAAACACGCTTTTCTTAAATGTTCTCTACTAGTAATGTAATAACTCCACGACTCCAGTAAGTGGTCCCGAAGCTTGCCATAACGTAAGGGGCCGTGGTGACTTACAGCCAACGTCAGTTTACCGTGGACAATTAGACCCAAGCCGAAACATATCATATAAAAAATAATGTTTTAAAATATGTCTTTTATTTTTTAATGATAGAATATAGTATTGTCATCAGTAGGACATAAGTATACCAAGTTTGCAGTCGATACCACATTTGGAAGTGGGTAAAAATTGAGTTAGAAGATTTGAGGATACAACAACAACAGACAGAGTGAGTTAATAAAAAGCGTGTAAAAATATTTTTTTTAAACGTGTAAAATAATAAAAATAGTAAAGAAGTCTTCCGTGTCCCCGGTGTTAAATTGATCAGAGTAAAGGTGACGTCATCATCGCTGTGAGCCAAGATCAAAGTGGTGGTGAATGTAGGCACGTAAGTTATAATTATAATCTCATTTTATATAGCGTCAGTTTAACCCGTAGGCTTTCGCGACCAATATCATCCATAAAATAGTTTTTTTGGGTTATATCGCGTAAATATATGTGTCGTTAAACCCGCCACCACCCGACACAGCGAATTAGTAACGTTATGTCACGTAAACAGAACGTGCCAATTCGTCACTAGTACAGCACACCGGTGTGTTGAGGATAAAATCCACAACATTTACAATCTGAGTACGACGTTTCGCCAGTAATTACATCATTCATGCAATTGCATCCCACAACGCTGCAAATTTATAACGGGTTATGTTCACATGACAACACGCAGTGACATATGACCTGTTATGGATTGGTCACAGTTCATCAACGCACGATGGAGTGTGTTAAATTGAGAACATGCAGTGACATATTAAACCTCACCCCACCCTGACCTTTGCACCAGACTGCCTCACAAGTGGCGACATCACAGTTATCCCAGGCCGTGTCTCTTTAAGACCGAAACAGCAGGAGAATGTCTCCACAACGATCTGGCTGTCGCCTGAGTGTTGCCACGAGTCACGAATCGGCACGTGCTCTGTTTACGTGACGCAACCTTTGCTAAGTTGCTGCGTCGGGTGGTGGTGGGTTTAACGGCACATTTATATATTTACGCGATGTAACCCAAAAACATCTATTACGGAAGAGCTTCATGGCTCAACGGATTTCTTCCAGTCTAAGCAAAGACTCTGAACGAATCGAATCAAGTCAAATGCGTGGCGATTGAGAGCGGGGAAGGCGTTGGGGGGTGGAAGAGGGGGTGGAGGTGAGGGGGAGCGGTGGGGGGGCTGAGGAGTGAGGGATTGTTGTACGTGGAGCGTCTTGCAATATTTATTATATTTTATTTAATTGATTCTCGTAAGCTCGTGGCTAGGGGGTTTCTCGCATCAATTCTAAGAGCTTCTACTCAATGGTCACCAGGTTCATAGATCTGTGCAGCAGTGCAGGCCTTCTCAAGCAATACGACTCACGAAAAATATAAACCACTCGGACACTCAGTGCAAAACAACGCTGAGTATTTAATAGATCAAAGCATCAGCTGGCATCCTAATCACGTCAACTCTGCAGCATTCTTCTTGACCGATGCGACCGTACGAACCGATATATGATAAAGAAATATATGAATGTCTAGCTGTTGTAATCAACTCGCGTATGAGCCCTCTGAAGTGTACTCCCCCCCCCCCCCCCCCCTTCCCTTTTTAGTGATGTAATTAAGTAATGTTACAAGTAGAGAAGATCTGTTTAACACGTATGAGGCTTTCGCGACCAATATCATCGATAAGAGGGTTTTTTTGTTGTCAGATCACGATCTATCCCCAGAAAGACCACTCTATTATAGAGCAGATCTGTTACAAGGCAAACCGCTGGATGCCCCAACGCGTGAGCGGGCACCAACAACCTCCAACCTCCTCCGCACCGAGCAGCCTGTCAGTCTCGGCACTCCTCGTGTCAGACTCAAAAATCAAAGGTGAACAATTATTATCATGATCATATTATGCGCTCGGGCAACGCGTGGCAAAAAGTGCCCACGTCCGTGTGTTGCACTCCATGACAGGCGTAATCAAAATCCCAGCCACGTTAGCAACTACAGAGAGGGATGCAAACTCGATGGTACAGCGTCAGCCTTGACAAAATATGGGAACGCACAGGCGTTAGAGCGGAAAAGTTTACTCTCCAAGAACTTAACAGCATGCGGAAAATTTCGGGAAAATCAGACGGCCCTCGACCAGTCTTGGAAAAACAAAGTCTGTGCCACCTCGCAGCAAATCGAACGATGTATCAAGAAACAACAATTCTACAAGTGATACATCAGAACAATGACAATTGTACAGGTGATACATCAGAACAATGACAATTGTACACGTGATACATCAGAACAATGACAATTCTACAGGTGATACATCAGAACAATTACAATTATACAGGTGATACATCAGAACAATGACAATTCTACAGGTGATACATCAGAACAATGACAATTCTACAGGCGATACATCAGAACAATGACAATTCTACAGGTG